TAATACCTTTATCAGAAACTCCCGTCTTTCTCAGCAAATGAGATTTGTGCAACTGCAACGTGTCATCGCCTTCATCCACAGCCCCCCTGCTAACTACATTCTCTATGTAAACCTCATTTTTCTGGCCAATCTCCAAGTTTCCTTCTAAAATCGACATATGAATACCGTTATATTCGTTACTGATCGTTACAGAATCCAACAAGCCTTCTCTTCCTAGATTGTTGCCAATAACTCCCTTGCGCACCCTGGGTTTCGTCACCATAAAACCATCTTTTAAGAGTCCAGAGATTTTCTGATTTTCCATTTCACCAAATGTACCCAAAAGATCTCAATTTTTTTCTTAAAATATCAATCTCAGTCATTCTCAAAGCTGTAAGAAACAGAAAATTTCAGGTCAAATATTTTTCTTTATTTTTTCCACTAATGGTAAAAAAATTCCCATCAAAAATCACAAAACAGGAAACAAAATTTACGAAGTTAAAAAGCCACCATTATTAAAATAAAAAAAAAAGATAAAAAGGATCAACGAAAAAAATACATTGTACTATCAGAAAGCCAAAAAAAACCGTTAAAAAAGAGGATTCACGACAACAAACAAAATTTCAAACTTAAAAAGCTAACAAATATATAAAAAATAAATTGAAAAAAATAAACCCCACATCCATTTTATTATCAAAAAAAAAAAATGTAAAAACGAGAATTAATGACAAAAAATAAAAATAAAAATGACAAACTTCAAAAAGCTAACATGTATAAAAAAATGGGAAATAATAATAATAATAATAATAATAATAATAATAAACAACCACATACATTTTACTATCAGAAAGCCAAAAAACCGTAAAAATGAGAATTAATGACAAGAAACAAAATTCACAAACTTAAAAGCTAACATTTATAAAATGAAATTGAAACCCATCCACCCAAAAACAACCCACATACATTTTACTATCAGAAGGCCAAAAAACTGTATAAAAGAGGATTAATGACAAAAAAATTTACTAACTTAAAAAGATAACATATATATACACATATATATGATAAAAAAAAATCGAAAAAATACAAATCACCCCCACCCCAATAAAACCCATAAATTTTACTGTCAGGAAGCCAGAAAAACTGGAAAAAGAGAATTAAGAATAATTAATTACCTGAAGAAAAAATTAGACTGTCTCCACTTTTGCTGCGTACAACAATTGTTTGAAAGCTAGCGATCTGCTATAAGCTGATAACAACAGAAAAAAAGTGATCAATTCAGAATTGGAATTGAAAAACAGTGAATTTGAAGCAGAAAAAGTGAAGATTGTGTTCCTTTCTCCCCCAAACAAAGCTAAGTTCGAGGCAAGATATATACCTTTTTTTTTCTCTATTTCTCAGTCTAGAAGGAAATTTTTCTTCATGACTGAGGTTGAAGAGAGTCCTCTTGTTATGTGAGTTCGTGATGGTGAGACACGTACTTTGGTGTAGTGGTCGTGCTTATGTCATCAGCAATGTTTTTATTCTTAAAATGAGTACTTTTCACTTATAATTGAAAAAGTAGCTTATTATGAAAATCTTGATTTTTAATCTTTCACTAGATGTAAGTAACAAGTCAAAATGGATTGCAAAGGATAAAATAAGAAATTTCGATCAAACTTCAAACGTCCTCAATAACTAAAAGAAAAAAAGACTTGTAAATTTTTCAATTGACTATTAAGCCAATATTTAGATAAAGAAAATAAGCGGATAAGAATATATGCTTTATGTACTTCAAAGTTGCAATAAGAAATTACCGCAAAATGATGAGTACATGTAGGTATCTTTTTATGGTGATATGTTCGTAATTTGTTAAAAACGTAGGCACAAGACATGAATTCATTACTACATTCGTGGAGAAAATCTATGATACAAACATGTTTTAGTACACTAGCCATTAAGGGCTCAAAATTTCTTTGGATACCTTTTCTGTGTAAATGTTGTAAACGTGATGTGTTCAATAGTTTTTTTTCTGTATGAAGAGCAATTGTCTTGAATTTGTTCCTTCGTATGGAGAGCACTTGGAAAAAGAAGTTGATGCAAAAGAAGAAGACATAAATGTAGGTCTTCTTGAAGGGTGATGCATTCACTAGTTTCTTATGTAAAAAGGGCATATATTAAACTAGCTATTAAACAAGATATATTTCAAAAGACTTCTTTGTGTAACTGTTCGTAAAGTATACACGTGGCACGAGTATCTTAGTAATTCAACTACTTAATATGATTTGTCGAGTTAGGAACTCTAACAATTAAGAGATTTTGAACCATAATTTATTGGAAATGTGTTAAACTCAATGTTCGACCGCATAAGTAACTTTTCACAATGATTTGACATCTTGAGATTGAGGCCATTGGCCAAGCAAAATTGGATTTTTTATTTTTTATTTTTTATTAAAGTTATTGTTTATTGTCACTAACATTTACCTCGATCAACATCTCTTCAAAAATGTCAAAAACATTAATGTACTTAGGATTTTATGAATCGAGTGGTATATGTTATAATATATTATCTAATTATTTCTAAATTTATTAAAGGTTATTTATTATTATATCTTTATTAACCTTAACTCAATATTTTTGTGCAACCATTTATATCGGTTTTTGTTGTTTGTTGGTAATTCGGTGTGGTGGACAACAATAAATTTAGGATGAGTCCCAATGAAAATGTTGGTAAGGGAAAATTGCAGCAGCGGTCCCTAACTTTTCACTTTTGTGTAGATTTTACCCTAACATTCATTTTGTGCCACCCACCGTCCCAAACCTTTCAAAAATTTATACCCGGGGTCCAAATGGATGGAAACCATCAATTTAACCGTTAGTTGGCCAATAAAATTGAACTTTGACTAATTTTGACCAATTTAAAAGGATAAAAGAGTAACTTTGCTATTTAACAATTAAAAAATTAATTAAAACAAAATAGAAATCCCACCCCACTCCATCCTCCAAAATTAGAATTGTATTTTAGTGAAGGCCATCGATGACCTCGATTTCATGGAAGAAGAAGAGAAGGAAAAATATTCAAACTACTTCGTTTTCAGATCAACTTAAAATTGATGGAGACTTTTGCGTAAACAGGCGATAAATTGGTAATTTGAGGCACTGGATGCGACGGAGCAACGATGGTTAAATGTTTGAGTGGTCGAAATTTACTTGCGACAAACATGCTGTAAAGCTTTGGGATAGTTTAGATTTAGGTTTGAATTTGGCTACTCTATTGATAATAATAACACACCACCAAACTCCACCACAACGGTGAAATGTGGTGGGAAGCTTTAGGATTGAATTTGGGTTTAGATTTAGATTTGAATTTGGCCGAAGCTTTGGGATTTTGGCTATATATGCTGAATGGCGCCCGACGAACTTCACCTGCAGCGACGGCTACGGCTGTCTCCACTGGCGGAGTTGAAAAGGTTTATGCCAAAAACGGCATTACTGGGGTTTAACTATTGGTGACATAAGGAAATTGAAGACTCCTATTGAGAATGTGCCAGAACCTGGTGGCGAAACATGGTAGGAAGATGACACCGTGTAGGTCGAGTTTATTCAGTGGTGGTGGCTCTAATTTGGGTGATGGAGTGGGTGGGGTGGGATGGGGTAGGGTAGGGTGAAGAAGGAGATGAATAGTTTTTCTTCCTTTTATTCATTTATTTTTATTTTGTTTTAATTAATTATTTTAATTGTTAATTAGCAAAGTTACTCTTTTACCCTTTTAAATTGGTCAAAATTAGTCAAAGATTAATTTTATTGGTCAACTAACAGTCAAATTGATGGTTTTCATTCATTTCGACCCTAGGTGCATATTTTTGAAAGGTTTGGGACGGTAAATGGCACAAAATGAAAATTAGGATAAAGTCTGCAAAAATGTGAAAGGTTAGGGACTGCTGGTGCAATTTTCCCCTATTGGTAATAGCTTTGAATTTTGGGTAAACATAAATTAATCTCCTGTTTGGTGTATATTAAAATAAAATTTTTTATAAATTTTTATAAAAAAAATGATGAAATATAATATTTGAAAAGTTATGAATCTCATTAAATGTGTGATTAAAATTCATTGCGGTTTGAATAATAAATAGAACTTTTCTTTATTTTTCTTTTTCTTGTTAAATTTTTGCCAAACTTAAAATACTTAAAAATGGTGCTCGATGAAAGTACCTGAACAACTTAAAAAGTAACTTTTTGAGAAGTATGAAATTATCTTAAAAATGAATTTTTAGAAAAGTAAGTTAGGCTATTTTGCTACTTTTAAACTGTCAAACATCATTGTTTGAATTTGCTTATAGACATAAATGCTTATTCATTCTTACATCTATACAAACTTTGATGCTATATTTGATTAATCTCATCTCACCTTTTAAATTAGTTAATTTCTTTTTAGGTGTACCAAAATAACTGCATTTTCATAGCGTTGTTACTATCTATAATCTACACCAAGATTTTCCACAGTACATTTTTATATCAATAATCTGAAAATAGAAAAGAATTTATTAAGAATGTTATAAACTATAGAGAACAAAAGAGAGAAGCCAATAAACTTATATATTTTTATTAAAAACTAAAACTTCATATTTATAGGAATGAATTAGGATTACAAGAGATACAACAGTCATATTGACTAGGGCGGTAATAGTATAAAATGTCATTCGTAAATATCACTATATTTACAATAATTATCTTATTGAAATATTATTTGGTAAAAAATTTGATGGGACAAAAATACCAACAAATGAAAAAACAGTAAAAATAATTTGTAGTGATAAAATGATGCTTCGTTAAAACCTTGTCAAGAAAACCTAGTAGAACAAAATTTGATTGAAGAAAAAAGAATATTGCTTCCCCTGATTTCAATTTTCATATTAAGCGATTTATGTATTGTAGGTCAATGTTTTCAATATTGATATATTTTACATCAATGTATTCAATTAACTTTGTCTTCATATAAAATATTTGTCAATATTTAATGATTGTAGTAAAATGATGATTCAAAAAAGCTCTTGTTGATTTCTTTGGGAGTCTCATATATATATGAGTATTATTTTTATGGTAAATATCTTGTATATTATGGGCATTCATCACACAGAATATGCATTGTTAAAACCTTAGTAGAAAAAATCACGTGGAAAAATTCTAATGAATGAAAAAGAGTATATTCACTACAATAGATTTTGCTTTTTATGGCATGCATTGCATGCCTTAAAAAGTAGTTTACGGCATACAGTCGCCTACCGTATAAAGCCATGACTTAAATATACATATCTTTTTATGGCATGCATTGCATGCTGTAAAAAACAAGAAGCACGCCGTTAATAAACTATTTACGAGCATCCCATAAATGCTTAACCTTTTACGGCATGAATCTGCATGCCGTAAATAAGATAATATTTTTTAAGGCAAACATTTTTACATGTCGTAAATGGTCGTCTCATTTATTTTTTTTACGGCATGCACTAACATGCCGTAAAAATAACGAAATTTTATATGACTTTCACATTTTATACTCTATAAAGATTCATTTCTTATTAAATATTTATTTTTCGATAACCATTAAACCTATAATAATTAAAGAACATAATTCCCAATATCAACACATATATAATAACTTCTCCCATAATTTCATAAAATAAAACCAATACAAATGTCGAGTTAATTTAGAAATGAACTAAGAACAACAATAGCCTACTCAAAATAGTTGATATCAACATCCAAAAGTATGAACTACAACTCCAAAAACAAGTAATCAAAATAGTACAAAATAATTGATCCACATCGATTTTGATTAATTTGATCAACAATTTTGTTATCCCAAAAACAATCAACTCCCTGCACATCACAAAAATAAATGAGGGTATAGTTAATATATTAAAGTAAGTACGCAAATGAAAAATGATATACAAAAACATGTAAATCATATTATAACCTGTTATAATATGATTTAGAAAAAAATTGGAAAAGTATTACAGTAAGAAAGACTTGCTTAATAGTTCAAAACTAAAAAGCATCAACTTTTGTACAATGAGACCTTTAAAGATTTCTATAGATTTTTTTAAGTGGAGTGACTTTTTTTGAATTGCAATCATTTACACAGCACAGCATAGAATAAGTATAGAACAATCAACTTTTTGACACTTCTCTTTCTTGTCTTGAAATGAATTGAAAGGAAAATGTTCTACCTATATTATTCTAAGCACCAACAAAGGTTCTCTAGGAAAGAGACAGCAGAGAAATGGCAACAACTCAAAACAACTTCTCATGAGGACGGTTTGAACATTATACTTAAACATAGAAAACACAGAGAGGAAAATTTCTTCCTCTTTGTTTTTCTCTTTCTCACATTACAAGCAATCAAAACACTAACCTATAATCACTAAAATCAAACTCCATACCATTACTATACATTCAAATCACATTCAAACCATACATAATAAACGACTCTTCTCAATGTCA